TTACACTGCAAGTGTATTGACCATGCATGGAGTGACCAAAGCAAGTAAAAACAGTGTTATGCCTCAGCAAAATAACCACAAATACAAGCTAAGACATGGTCAACATACACTTAACAGAGGTGCTCAAACATAAGGCATATTAAGGCATGTAAAGAAGACACAAGGAGAGGGGATGGCCCTCCCCTTTTTAGGACCTTAAAACACCATCCCCACCACTGAAATCCCTCTGGATTTTAGTGGTGAGAAGGCCAATATAAGGTGGTCCCGAAGCTCACAAAAGAGGCTCAAAAACAAGGCCAAACAAGGCTTAAGAGGGGGTAAACAACCCCAAACACAAAAGTGATCTTAAACAAAGATTAAAAGCATGCAAAAATAGAACTTTTATTAGTTATAAGTTAAGCTTAAAACAGCATGCACGATAGGCTAAAAGCTTAAGCAAGAAACGGGGATTTAAAGGTCAAAAGCTCACCTTTGAAGTCCTTCTTTATAACTGCAACTCCAGCAGGTTTTTCAAGCTCAAGGCAATCCAAGAACACCAAAATCAGCCCCTAAGCACCTCAGTAGCAAAAGGATGGTGTTTGAGTGTGTGTTTGTGTGTTAAAGTAAGACAAATCTACACTTTAAGGCACAAAAATGAAGCAAACAAGGCAATATAGATACAACACTATATCTATCCTCTTCCCTCAGATTTTCTGAACCTAGAGGAGGGAGGAGGAGCTTCCCTTTTATAGAAGAGGAAAGGCAAAGCTTCTAGGAGAAGCTAAGCACCAAAGCAATCCCTCCAAACACGTGTATAGAGGATGAGTCTAATGTCCTCCAGCTCCAAAAAGGTGCCAAAAAGCAGCTGGTTGGCCTGCTAGTTTAAGTGGTCGGCCGACCACTTTAGGTGGTCAACCAGAGAAAAAATTGGTCGGCCATAGGTGGGAGAGGTCAACATACTAAATGCAAGGTGGTGGTGTGGTGGCCGACCAGAAAAGATGGTCCAAAGACCAAGAAAGCCAGTTATCCGACAAGAAAACTAGCTGGAAAAAGAAAAAGTGGTCTCCAAAGAGAAATATTGGTCTCCCACCCTTGTACCACCTTCCAAACAAGGAAAACAAGGTTTGTACCAAAAACAAACCAAAGCGGATGCAAGACGAGAAATCGGGAGGCGAAACACGCGGCCAAAAGCCTCGAAAACTGGCTGACAAGCATCAAAAGTGGTATGCAACCACAAAAGTGGTCTCCCAGACCACAGTGTTCCTCTAGGCAAAGGCAACAAGGTTTGGTTCAAAAACCACGCCAAACGGAGAATGTTAAGTGGTCCCGAGACAAGGCATGCGGCCAAAGGCTCCAAAAACCGGAAACTAGTCTCCAAACAGGAAAAGTGGCATACGATCACGAAAAGTAGTCTACGACCACAGAGAGATGGTCTACAAGACCACTCCCTCCCTCTGAGGAAGAGAAACAAAGTTCGGTCCACAAACCGAGCCGAAGCACAAAAGCGTTCAGAGGCCCGGAGGCAAGGCTCTCAGCCAAAACTCCGAAAACCTCTAAACGAGCACAACATGGACCATCACCGAGCACTCAATCGATGGCGTTTGAGTCTTAAGGTCGGTCAAAAATGGGGTGTCTACACCCGCCAAACCTGACCTGACCCGACCCCATTTGGGTGAATGTGTGACACGTGGCGGGCAGATGTGGGCCCAGATTTTGTATTTTCGCGGGTTGGGGTCAGATGGTAGTTGATCTTCCATTACACCCATTAAACCCGACCTGTCCGTTTTGTCTCTATTTTTTTTTTATATATATATTTTTTATGCCCCTCTTTTTTATCTCACTCAGTAACTAACCTAACCACTTATTCTTCTTCGACAGACACACTCTTTTCTCTCTCTCTTCTCTTTTCTCTCCCTTTGCCTAAAACTCTAACCGTCTACCGACGGTGATGACGATCCTCTCCATCGTCTGAGCAACAGCAAGCAACGATCTACACTGAAAGGCGATCGGTGATCAACGATCTGTTTTTTCTTTTTTTTGTTTTCGTACGTCATTTTCTAAGAATCTCATATTAAAACCCTAACCCATTATTCGACTGAAAGAGGATCAGCGATCGTAGTGGTGGTGAGATTTTGTCTTCTCTTCTTCTCCTCAATCTCTAATCTGTTCTGTAATTATTATTTTTTTCTTGTTCAAAACCCTCTGTTTTGTCTTCTTCTTTCCTTTTCTTCTCCTCAATCTCTAATCTGTTCTTTTTTTTTTTTCTTTTTTTGTTCCAGTTTGAAAACCTTTTTTCTCTCTTCTTATTTTCTGTTTTTCTTCTTAATCTCTAATCTGTTTGTTTGTTTGTTTTTTTTTTTTTATTGCAGTTCTGAAAGCAAAGAGGTGGTGAGATTCAGAGTGTGAGGGTTCTACATACACACACAGAGAGGAAGATTATAGTTCGAAAACTAGAGAGGTTTGGTTTCTTTTTCTTCTTTTCTACAATGAATTTCGAAAGTACCTGTTGCAAATGGGATGTTTACATTCTATTAGCCCTAAATTCTGTTAAACCTGTTAGCCCTAAATTTTGTGATTTTGAGTTTGAACCAGTCTGAGAATTTTAGCTCTCTTTTAGTTTGTGATTTTATATCTGTGTCTGTGATTTATAGCTTTTTATATCTGTGACTGGGATTTTGAGTTTGAACCATTGAAATTGGGTTGTTTACATTTTGTTAGCCCTAAATTCTGTTAATTTTGTTAGCCTTAAATTCTGTGATTTTGAGTTTGAACCAGTCTGAGAATTTTAGCTCTCTTTTAGCACTAAATTCTGTTAATTCTTCTCCTGATTTGATCTCCATACTCTTCTTTATTTGTTTTTGTTTACATTCCTTAGTTACACAATTAAATATCATCAATGACAGCCAAATTTAATACTGTATACATTACATGCATTTAAATATGTTTCACATTTGATTTGAAATCTATTTCTGTTAGCCCTAAATTCTGTTAAATCTGTCATCTTGTTTGAAATTATAGAGGAAAACAGTTTATTTGATAATTTTTTGGTCATGGATCCTCCAAGCGAAGAAACATTTTTTGTGAGTCCTAATGTTGTGCCCGAATCATCTTCTATTGACCCCTCTACCCAACCTAATGCTCCCCCTCGTAGACCACCATTGGCCAAAAGTAGTAGTAGTAGTAGTAGTAGTAGTAGTGGGAGAACAACATCAAAGGCTGGGGATTATTTTGAAAAGATTAATATATACAATGATTTATTTTGTTTTAAATTTCATTTATTTTGTATTATTCAAAATTCATTATCTTCACTTCACATATTTTTGTTGTGTTATGTTTTATGTGTAGTTATTTCGGAATCAAGTTCATGTTCAAGACCAAGTCCGAGGAGCAGTTTTATTGAAGTTTAATATCATTGGTAAAATACTTTTTCTTTGTTAAATATTGTTAACATATGTTTACTTTAAGACCTTTTAGTGTTTTTCTTATTAAATAATTTCATTTTTTTGTTATGCAGGTTTAGATGACTCATGGTTTGGCTCAAGGAAATAAATGGGTTTTTTTGCTTCTTTTTGGATGACTGTAATTGGATGCGCAATTTTTGTAGGATGCATAATGTTTTGGATGAATTTACTTTTTTTTTTTTGGCACTCTAGATGACTGTAACTTGGATGCACAATATTTTCCTTATGTTTTATGTGTAACTTTGATGACTTATACCCATTGGATGCACAATGTTTTGGGTGATATTGAATTATACCCACTGGAACTAATAAAAACCAATAAACTGCCCCTATGCCTATATGATCATATATTGACATCTGTTACAATATTGTATTGTAATTAATTATGTTGCCCAGGTTGCTTTCATAACACATAGATGTGAATATTGCATTGTCGAGGTTGTTTTTTTGAGCAAGTACATAATTGAATTATGTTAAAAATTTGTCAAATTTTAAACCGTTAAACCGATTCGTATCCATCTGTCAATGCGCATCCGCCGAATTGGTGGACGGATGCGAATTGGTTTTCTCCAATCCGCCAATCTGGCAGACGGATGGCGGGTTGGAGGTTCTACGGTCGCAATTGATTTGTGCCCACCTCTGATGAGAACGATAGTGATTGTTTTATTAAAAAAGAAGGGACTATAACAAATTATATTTTTATGTATGAAAATTTTGTGAAAAAATCTCAATATAATGGTGATATCTATCATTATTGATATGTAAATATAATTAATCTTACTATATATATATATATAAATTATTAGAGTGTTAGTTATATTTGCATGTAGAGTTCACCCTTTATATGTTACTTTACTATTAGTTGGTGATATTATATGTCAATGATGACGTGATATCAATATTGGCCCTGTTTGGTAGGACTTATTTTCAGCGTATTTCAGTTTTTAGTTTAATTTAAGCTATTTCGATATGTTTGGTTCAACTTAATAATACAACTTATACCTTTTTGTAAGTCAAAAATCAACTTATTCTTTGAGTAGGGGAGGAGAAACTTAATTTATAAGTCCAAAATCAGCTTATGTTCACAGTTATAAGCTATAGGCTGTTAGACTATAAGTTATAATCACTTTCTCACAGTTCTATCAAACAGGGCCATTATATGAAATTTTTACTTAAATTTTGTAAAAATTTAATTTATCTTACCATTATATAATTTATTTTAAGACTTAAATATATAACTTTTTTACATTGTCCATGATATACTAATTATATACAATACTTTCTTTTCAATTTTACTCGAAATTAATTACAAAATTTTATACTTTTGTAATAATATATTTAAATTTTTGTACTTAATATTAATTCAAAAATTATTATTATCTGCTTATTGTTGGTTATGAAAAAAAAAATTATAATTATAATTAATAAATGTCTATTCTGATTTGATTTTCTCCCTGAATGTGCGCGCCCCCAGACAGAGAGAGAAGAGAGAGAGAGAGAGTCAACATAAAGAAACTAGTACCAACATTTGGGAGTATCCTCACATCCACACATTACATATCCTCCATCAAAACAAAACACCCTGTGTGTATATTCCAGCAGTTTACTGTTGAACAATTCATAAATACATAGAGATAAATGCGTGTACAAATGCAGCATAAGGTGTACACCATGGGTAATCATTACACTTCAATTATACATTTTCTGCCAATTCTAAAGAAGTTTCATCAGAGTCATCATCTTCAAGTCCAGAATCAGAATATTGTTGCGTCTCAAAAGCAAATCTCATCTCTTGGTTAACCAATTCAGCAAGGTCCTGCCTGTTCACATTTTTATAAGCATCTATGACTGCTTTGAATAAGGATTCATTTGGTTCAATCTCCCCATACTTTAGCCGGCTATAAATCCGCTTCACACCTTCAACCATGCCAGCTTTTCCATAACACCCTACAAGATTAATATAAGTAACGAGGTCTGGTTCTAGTCCCTCATCTTGCATTTTCATGAATATGTTCAAAGCCTTGTCAATTTCCCCTGAAGCCGCATAAGCATATATTGCGACATTATAGGCAAAAGAATCAGGGCCCACTTCGGCTTTTATAAAGATTTCGCAAGATTCAAGTGCTAAAGTATGGAAGCCCACAACAGAGAAGACACAAGCTATAACAGCTTGTCTGGCAAAAGGTTTCCCTTCCCAGTAACATGACTCGAGCTGTGTTACTGCTTCAGTCGAAACACCGCCCTTTTTCAGGACAGTAAATAGTACCTTAAACGTCCCACCATCGGGCAAAAGCTTCTGATTTATCATTTTATGCAACAATCTGCCACATTCAACTAGTTGCCCATTTGTGGCATAGCATGCCATTAACTTATTAAAAGAGACACAATCTCTTAATAAACCTGACTGTTTCATCTCCTCAGCAACATCAATGGCTTCATCAAACATGCCCATATTCTTGTAAAGATACATCATGGTTGCAAATGTAACTCCATCTGCCCAACCCTTATCTCTCAAATTATCAAACACTAATCTGGCTTCAGATACCATTCCGAGATCTGCATACAGACTGAGCATACTATTTGATGCCACGACATCAGGACCACCCTCCAAATCCTTCATCTTCTCATACATTCGTTTGGCTCCTTCTACAGAATCAATCTTACTGTATGCTTTAATCATGGAAGTGAGCACTACCTGATTCACTGAAATTCCATTTTCTTCCATAATGCGGAAATAATGAAGAGCTTCATCAACCCTGGAAGCCTCTGCAAATCCATTAATTAAAGACCCATAAACAACTTCATTGGGTTTTACCCCTGTTCTCACCATTTCTTGGTAAACATCAACTGCATCAGAAAGCCTGCTCAAATGGGCATAACTTGCAATGACAGTAGAAAAAGTAAGACACGAGGGTTTATGTCCCACTCTTTGCATTTCTCTTAAAAGGTCCCTTGCTTCGTCCACTAAATCGCCTCCTGATAACATTTGGATGAGAGAGTTGTAAGTGCACTCATCTGGCCACGTGCCACGTTTTTTCATGCCCTTGAAGAGTGACAATGCTTTATCATAAAGCTTTGCCTTACCATAAACTTTGACCATGACATTAAATTCCGCTAAATCCTTGCTCTGTCCAACCAAATCCCTCTTCCGGTAGAACACAGCCTCCGCTTCAGCCCAGAGTCCCTTGTCAGCATATGCATCTATGATAGCCACATATGTTTTCGATGACAACCCACCATGCAACTCACCCTTTTCAAAAATGACGTTTGCCTGCTCAAGCAACCCTTCATTGGCATACATCTTAATGAGAACAGGAAGAGAGTTCTCATCAATACGCACACGAGATTTCTCCATTTCTTCAATCACAGCCTCCACTTCTTGAACCATGTTCCTCTCACATAATATACGCAGAACAGCTCTGTGAGTTACGACATCAGGGAAAAGCCCCACTTGCCTTATCTTTCTGTAACACTTAAGAGCTGCATCAATGTTCCCTGCATCAGCATATAAAGACAGAAAGATGTTGTAAGTTTTTGTATCGGGTGATATTCCCTTTTCTTCCATCTTTCTAAGCAAAGTTTCAGCTTCTGACATATGGCCATGACTTCCACAAGTGAAGATCATAGTGTTGAAAGTAATAGTATCCACTGCCACTCCAGACTTCATCATTTCAGCGAACACGCCCGCTGCGTCCTTCAATCGACCAGCCTTCCCATACAAATCAATCAAAGTATTATAAGTAGATGTAAGTCGGGGTTTTCGAACAGAGCAGTCCACATCAGATGAAGCCAGAATTTTCGCGGGACAATCCCTCCCACCTGTTTTGAAAAGCTCAGTCGACAAGAAGTGCTTCAAACTAATGGGTTCCGAGTATGACCCAGATTCAGAATCAGCCATAGAATCCAAATCAAGATCAACTAATTCAATCCTCCCTGAGCACCAATCCTTGTAAAACCTATCTGCTCTATCATATTCTCCAGCATCCTTCAAAACTCGGACAATTGTATTCATAGTGACTTCATCCGGGAAAATTCCCCTAAGTTTCATGTGTTTAATCCATAAAAGCGCTTCTTTAACAAGATCCGCTTTTCCATACACGTCAACGAGCATCCCATAAGTGTTATTCGTCGGAAGAACACCATTTTTTGCCATTTCAATCCAGCAAAGCCTTAACTCATCCCATTTCTGGGCTCGACCCAGTGTCCGAAGCACGACATTGTAGTGAATTACATTGGGCAAGTATTCTTTTTGTGATTTCATCCACTCAAAAACCCTAACAACCCTTTCCCAATTTTTCTGCTCCTTGAGAATCACAGTTTGTTCTTTGGGACTGAGCTTCCCATAATACAAATTAAGGGTTTTCTCAATACCATCCTCCTCCAAGGACCGTAAAATCGAGGGCAACATACCTCCATACCTCTTCTTCTTACCGTTAATTGTACTCTTTGAGGACAAAACCACTGTTCTTGAATGGCACTGAAGCTTAAACCCTAGAGAAACCCTAGTTCCCTTAAAGTTTTGCTTTTGGGCATGTGAATTAACGATTCTTTCATGGGTTTGATTAGTTTTAAATGAAGGAGATAGAGAAGGCAAAGAAGAGACTTGCCTCTTCACTAAGCTGTGGTGATTATAGAAACTATTTAGCCCTAGAAAAACCCGAGATTTGAAAGAAGAGTGAAGGGTTTGAAGCTTACATGGTGAAGAAACGATGTGGGTTTGGATTGAGTTCTTGAGATTTTCGTGCCCCAATTCTCTGGAACTGCAAGTTTGAAGCATCACTTCGTTTTTGCTCTGTGAGAATGAAGATACAGTGTGTAAAGAACAGAGCATGAGCTAATATGTGCTGACCCCTTTTAGAGCTGGAACAGTAGTATTTTCAGGCTTTAAAAACATAAGATTGCTGCTATTAGCGTCAACCACTCTGTTATTTTAATAATTTTTTATTTTTTTATAAAATGATATTAAAAAGAAAAAAGAAAAAGAAAAAAGGAGTAAAAAAAGTGATGTTATTTATAATAACTTTTTAGTTAAAATATCTAGTCTCCAAACAAGGCCTCGGACCTTCCAACTCTTTTTTTCTTTTTTTTTATTATAATTATACTTTAAACTAAAATTACATTAAAGGATAATTTTTAATGAAACACTCATTCACCAAATGAAAACAATTAAAATGATACTCTGCAATATTGTACACCCACCTCTAACCTCATCAATACATATTCCTTATCAATCTAAACTCTAATCATATTCTTCTTCATCACTATCCTAAACCCACATATTCATTTTCAATGAAAAATATTTGAAACCACATAATCAGTTAACGTTCTGTTCGATGGTTTCAAATGTTTTCGATGTTCCAAATCAGTTAACGTTGTAAACAATCATATTGCAGACTCCGAGTTTATATATTTGTAGTCGTTTTCACCATTCATTGATACTTATAAAGCAATGGAAGACGATGACAACAACTCTGATGAGGTTGGCATTGCATTAGTAAGTTTATTATCTTGCATTTAAGATTCTAGGTCGTTTTCGGTTCGATACTAGTTTATCAATTGTTAAGGTTCTGTTCAGTAATACATTGCTAAACAGAATAATTTAGTTCAGTAATACAATACTGAACATAAACACTTTGTTCGGCTTTGAAATGCCGAACGGTTCCATTTTATAGGATTTTTTTTTTGAAGGTTTCCCTCTAAAACCCCCTGTATCGGGGTTTTACTCTGAAATAAACAAAAAAAAATATGTGATGGGGATTTGGAGGTTACCTGAGAGAAGAAAAAAGAGACCGTCGACAAGATTTTTGGCTAAGATACCGCTGTTCACAGTGACAAGGAAAAAGAGATCATTGTTTATGAGAGAAGGAGAAGAGAAACAGTCGATCTGTTTCTCAATCATTTGTCATTCTTAATCATCTCTCAATCATTCATCATTTACTGAAAGAAGAAGAAAAGAGGGTCTGCAAAATTAGGTGGGTGTACAATTAGGTGTAATGATATTATGAATATGGATAAATTTGGTATTAAGTGGATTGTTCAAAAAAAATTTATAAAAATTTAGAGTTTAAAATGGGGGTTCAAAAAAATAGAGAATTCGAAAAAATTAAATTGATACTAATAACAATACTCAAAAATAAATACTCCAAAAGACAACATCATAATAATAATAATAATAAATAATTTACATTTTTCTTCCTTAGGGTTGGTTTGGGAAGTGGGTTGACTTTTTGACTTTTTTGGTTATTTTAGCCTGGGTTAAAAAGCTTGGTTTGGAAAGGGCTTTTTGACTTTTTTTGTGAGAGAAGAGTATAATAATTATGGGTTGAATATGATGTTTTGTTGGTTGTGGCTAAAATAGCTTATTTTGTCTTTTGTGGCTAAAATAGCCAAAAAAAACCTACAAACCTTCTTCCCAAACAGTGCTAAGTTTTACTAGATTTTCACTTCAATTCCTCATTTATTAATTATAAAATTAAGTTATCAAAGTTCAACTTGCATTTTAATTTGATTGACGCTATTAGCACCTGGTAAATTATTTTGGATTCCTCAATTCTTAACTTTTTTTTTTTATTATAATAACCACCTCAAATAAAATTACTAAAAGGACATCATTAATTTTGGGACATTCCATCTCATAATTAAACCTACACACCCATTACATCATGAATTAGGGTTTATGAGAGTACCCACCTCCATCACCACCTATCCATCTTCTCTAAATCTCACATTCAAAACCTCCTCATCCTCAAAACCTTGAAAACCCTTTGGCGGCAATATTCCAGCGGCAACAGTGGCAACCACTTGACTATCTACATTTCTCTGGCAATGACAATTAGTAGAAGTTTTTCTAATAATTACAATTCCATAAGATGAGAGGAATATAACAATAAAAACTTATAGAAGGTTCATAACTTTGATGTTGTTCTTAGCTCAGAGGAGATTGGCCTTATAAGAGTAAGTTTCTTGAAAAAATGGCCAAAAATAATAAAATCTGTTCGTTATTTTTTTGAAACTAAACTCCCAAACATATGACCGAAATTCGGGAACACAAGTCCAAATATTTGTTCGAGAACCAGTAACTGAACATTTATTAACACATTGAACAGCCAAAATTGTCAATGTTTGTAAGTTTTTATTTTTTCAAGTTCGAGAATACAGGCCTAAACATTACTTATTTGTTCGGGAAGGCATTCTTAAACAAATAAGTAATGTTTGGGAATTTAGGTCCGAACATGGAAATCTCTTAACACATTGAATAGTCAAAAATTTTAAAACTTGCATAAGTTATCGCAAGTAGCCAAAATCCATTATTAGGTTCAAAAGTTATTCCTTCATCGCGTAACTTTTATAATAGTGTTGCGTAGTTCTCTGCTAAACTCGCAATTTTATAATATCTACAAACAAAATCAACCAAACCAATTATTATAATTTTTTGTCTTACAAGAGAAGAAATTATTACGAGAAAACTAAGAAATTATGTCTATATATATAGAGAGAGAGAGAGAGCATACAAACTGTGACAATGGTGAATGAGGTAACAGAGACAGTAATCACATTAGCACTTCTTCTTCTTGGTGGGTTTTGTCAGAATTTTTTGGAAGATGATTTTTTTTAGGGTGTGGAGGGTGTGTATTCAATGGGTGGAATGTTTTCATAAGGATAATTTTAATACTATTTGGGACGAAAAGGAATTTTGAGGGTTTCAAAATTTATAAGTAGAGCCCAAAGAAATAAGAGGTCCAAAATAATTTATGAATTGCTAATAACACTACTCTTTAATTTAGTCCTCGTGTAATTTCCTGTTAAAATTTTGAATGGAAAGTGATCATGAAAAACAGCTTAGGGGCACTAGAAGAAAATGAGAAATGTTAGGGATCATGAAAGACTTTTTATGAAAATGATCATGAAAGGTTTGTGACCCTTGGATTACCTTGATTAGTGTGTGATTTTTATTCTAAGTATAATCCAAAGGTCACAAATCTTTCATGATCATTTTCATGAAAGACTTTTCATGATACCTAGTATTGCTGGAAGAAAATATTTGTATGACTAATCACTTTTCCATATTTTTTTCACTCAAGTTTTGCTTTATTAGTCTATTATTTTTGAATTTTCACTCAAATTTTAAATAGTGAGATAACTAAAGGATCACAATAAAAAATAAATTGAATTATGAAAATTTGATTATTATAATTAAAATTAAAATGTGAGAGACAAAGTAAAATTTAAGTGAAATAATTTACGACACTTCATAACAATCAGGCATCAATCATGACAAAAACACAAACATTACTTTGGGAGATCAAACCATACTAATACAATTGTTTCCTTGGCTTAGGGATTAGGGTGATGTGCAATATTCGAATTTTATGTGTGTTTTAAGGGCTCGTTTAGAAATAGATATTTTAGTAATTTTTAATTTCTTGGTTAAAATATGATGTAAAAAAATTAATATGTTTGTAATAACTTTTTGATTTTTTTACGAAAAGATGTGAAAAAAGAAAAAAAAAAAAATTTTTTTGACTTTTTGATATAAATTATTAATTTTTTAAGTGATTTTTAAACTTTTAAACTAAAAAATGGTATTGCAAACGAATTAATATCAGAATAAGCGGATCAAATGGTATAAATTTTTTGCACAATCGCACAATTGATCGCAAGATTGTTCACAGAAAATATGAGTGGAGCAACTTGAGTGGAGCAGCCTTTTCAATGTCGGGCCTATCGAAAACAATTTTTATACTTGTAGAATTTTTGAAAACAATTTTAAAACAAACATGTTGGAACAATTTTTGAAATGAAATTGATTTGGGAAAATACCAAGTAATTTCAAAAACATACACTTTCAGTTTTTGCCTCATTTTTGCCTATAATTATCCAATCAGACTATCTATCAGCCAAAATAAATATATAAATAAATTAACAGATAAAGTAAATTAGGACCTCATAAATTGAACTTCATCATGTATACAAATAAATCAAATAAAATACAGAAATTTAAAAATAAAAAGCCAGCAATAAGCCACCAGTTGGAGGGTTTTTTTTATTTTTATTTTTTGTGGCAGTCAAAGGGGTGTAAATTTGGCCCGGCCCGGTCCATGTCGGGTCTCACGGACTCCCGCCAAAATTCGAGTCGGGCCAAGCTGGGCCCGGGCCAGAAAATTAGGCCCAGAAGTATTTAGGCCTTGGGCGGACTAGTGGGCTTGGACGGGCATGAATATTTTTTTTATTTTTTCTATCAAAATTTTGTTATTTTCTACTAAGAAAGACACTAGGCCTCGGGCAGGCTGAGCTGGCCCGGCTTAAGTGGGCTTTAAGCAAGCCGATGGATCGAGCTAGATTTCAAAATGATGGCCTTGACCCAAGTCCAGGGTCTAAGGCTAGGCTCGGGTTGGGCCCACCTCGGGCCACGGGCCATTTTTCTACTCCATTGTGATGTCTCTGGATGGACTAACATGCTCTTGAACAACCATTTCATGGCAATATAGAATAGGATCTCAAGAACAATGTGTCAAGCCTGGCCTCAAAGTAGCTGGCGACAATGACTATCAAAAAACTGACATGTCCTAACTTAAACTTGTTTGTCAGAATCTGTCTTTTACATACATATTTTAAGAAAATTATATGAACAAAATAAATACTAGACTAGGCACAAGTGCAAAAAAATAGTGAATGGTTTTGATTTTTCTCAGCATTATCAAACCAAAGAATCTTTCTGAATCATGGCAGTGCAGCCATCATTGTCCGTTTTGCAGCCTCACGCTTCATCTCTGCTGCTTTGCCACTGCCACGAAAGTACATGTAAACATCCTGCAATATTGGGACAAGGGACATCAAAGCTCAAGAGAAAGTACAAAAAAAAAGGAAAGTGAGAGGAGAGGAGACGAAATTGAAGTCAGATTAACAAACCTGGATAACCCAGATGCTGATCAGTGACTCGATGGAGAAAAATGCAAATCCAATAAAGTAGAAAATCTGTAAAGTAATAATGGAGATAATCAAGTAACTTTCCAACAACAGTTTTGCAGTTAGAATGGTCTGGTGATACTATGCAATATGCGATAAGATCATAAACTCACCCCAACCACAGTATGATCACCCATGACATCTATTGCTGGCAAGATTCCCCTGTCAAACAATCGGAAAATACATTCATCAGTTGCAGGATACAAAATAAATAACCAACTCACAACAAATGTGATCCCCTATATGGCTTAATTTGTTGGTTTTGCAGGAAAATGTAATGGAAATAATTTACAATGTTTAGTTTACTATTCCCAACGTTTTTGGGGGCTAAAAAATTTCAACACGTCTTGTTAGCACAAAATAAAAATTGAAAGAACACTGCAAATTCGAAGTCCAAAGGTTTTGGATCTGTATTTGAGGTTATTATGAATTCCCATTGCTTCCCCATCAATGTTTCCATATTGAAATCAAAGGTATAAGAGTTGTCCATGCTACACTACTTTCTTTTTTTTCTTTTTTTTTCCTTAGAATAATATTCTTCACTTTTCCCAATAAAACAATAGAAGGAAAAATTTAAGAAGTTATACTGCCCAAAAATCCTTTGAAAAAATACTTACGTGAGAGATTTCCCCCTGAAAATCATTGGAGGAGCAATTGCAGCGAAGACGCAGAAGGCAATATGGAACTGCATGGATAAAGAAAAGGAACAGAAATAAGACTTCCAGAAAACCTTCAATGTAGAAAACAAATCTAATTAGAAGATGCAAAAGCTTACCACGTAACTCAAGAAAAACCACCCAAACTTCAATGCACTATCAGTCCTGTAATGGGTTAACAGACAATTTTATAACAAAGAATTCCCAAGTAGATCCCAATTTTAAAGGCAAAGAGCATGAAATAGTACCTCATAGCACGATAAAGAGGACGATACCACAACACATAGGCCCCTGGAACCCCTGTTATGAAGTAGATAATAGCAAGAAACCAAATTGTCGGACCTACAAGACGAGAAAAATCAAGACTCATATATGCAAGCAAGAGGCTTAGAAGGCCATTCAAAGTATTTCCAAGCCAACCTTCTCCATTGATCCAGGCTACGGTAACTGCTATGATATTCCATAGAAGGCACACGACCAAACCTGCAAATGTCATGAATTTACAAGAAGTTCTTGTTAAAGCTTATTATGATAAAAAAAAAAAAAAAAAAAAAAGACTAATTGAGCAATACAGTCAACAAAATACACCTCAACCCAACTCCAGAAAGAGTAATCCAAACTAATTGAATGCTATTTCTTACCAACAAAAATGTCATACAAAAAGAGCATGCTTTTCAAGGACATGTGGCAAATATATATTAGATGAGTAGGACAAGATATAGATGCTCATGCACCAAGGTTTTTAAATTTCCATTTCATATCAATTTTCTGATGTCATTTGGGAAATTAATGTTAAAAAAAAAAATCCTCAAATTTGGGAAATTCAAAGAAATTTCATCAGAATTCCATGATTTGAACATGAAAGGTAGTTGATGTAGATGACTATAAGCCCCTCCCCAAAACACGCGTGCACGCGCGCGCGCGCACACACACACACAGGGAGGGTATGTGACACAAGTCTTTAGGAGAAGCAGCATACAATCTTGAAAGTAGTTTTCACATTCAACAGAATCAACACATTCCAATGTTTTCACTTTGGAAGTTTGAACTGAAGTGAGAAGAATCTTGGAAAAGATTTTTAAAATAGGTAGCTTGCCACTAGGCCGTTAGTTATCTGAGACTTGCTAAAAGCAGTGGTTCAATTGCTAGTAGAATCACAAGGCAAGGCTTAGACTGGCGGCAATCAACATCTTATCCAATAAAACTCTATATGACATGCTAGTAATTGATAAAAATAATGTGATTGATGACATCACTAGTGTTGAGTTTGCTAGAAGCTAAGTGGATAGAATTCACAAATTTCAAAAGAACAAGAATGGGAAGGCCAAATGCCAAACTCATGGTTATAGACTTACTACACACTACATTTGGACATTTTAAAAATTAAACTTCAATGCTAAAAAATGAGAGTTATTGAAATACCCAACAATGTTGTCAATGCAACATACTGCAACTTCTGTAAATGGATTGGAATTTCATTCCCAATATCATGATGAATGATTGGAAAGAACGGTGGCCAATTATTCTCCTCTATAACAATTCCAGCTGCCAAAAAAAGGGAAATATTTATAGAGCCAAGTAAATCAATCTATTTGATTTTTTAATGTATTCAAATATATAGACAATAGAACTACCTCGTGCCATAGCATCCTCCTTCCTTTTCAATTCCTGCATAGCATCATCAAAGTTGATAACTGATTACCCATAAAGATGAATTATGCCTAAAGTGCACAAAATAGAAAATGTAATATTTAGTCCCCATAGGGCACAATAAGGTGTCTAAAAATAGAACAAGGTTGTGATAGACCTTCAGGGAATCCATGACAAAGGCATAATATAAATGAAATGAAAAACTAATAAGATTAATACAAAGTGTCCATGAAGATAAATTAAAAAAATAGCCATTCAATAATAAATATTTTTTCCACCTATGCAACCACGAGCAGGCAACTACTTTTCCTTCCCGGCCAACACCTATAAACAATGACGCCTCCGATAATATAGAGATGTCTCACATGAAATTGCAATTACAAGTAAACTTAGAAGCTACTAAAAAAACAGAGTTTGAAAGCAGTGTGTATAAGACTTCCAATTCTAGGTAAAACATATTCGGAAGCTACAATTTTAATTAGTATAAACAAGTACCTGCTCCCTCCTCCTCAATTCAGCCTCCTTTGCTTGGAGTTCTTTCTCCTTCGTTCTGAAATCCTAGATTGCAGCAGAGGATAATGAAATTAACAAAGCCTATGTCTATGCATAAAAATAGTAAAAATTATCGCAGGTATAAATTTCAACATCCTTTGAACTTTAGTCTACCTTTCCATTATCAAGAGGGATATTGACTGTAGCACCACGATCATAGTCAACAGGTTCAGGAGGAAGCGGTGAAAGCTTTGAGGCTGCAACAGGGGGAACTCCTGGATTCTGGTTATCTCAGCAAGAATAATAATCAAGTACACCGTAAGTAAGACAATAAATGATCATCTGCGTGATGATATGCTTAAGCATAAAACAATAATTTAAGTTATTCTAACAGAGATAATTGTAATGATAAAAAGGCGTTCTAACAAAAAATAAAAATAAAAATAAAAAATCAGGCAAGGGGGCCTAACAAGCCAATGTAACTTCACAAGAAAAACATTTAGATGCAATTGGTTCGAGAAATAATATTCAAATTAATGAAGAGATTTGAATCTGAGATCTGTCAGCGCTTTATGGAAAGAAAATTTTACAAAATCTTGATAGCAAAAGTATCATTTACAAAACTTACTAAAAGAATTGATAGAGAGAAAATTCATAAAAAGAAAACCAAAAGCAGTATCCACCGTCTCATCTACAATCATCACCACCTGAAATATGATAGTTTCAATTCACGACCAAAACAAATACGATACACTGATCTGGAAATTGCAGACAACAAATCATAAAATCAACCACACAAAACACATCAACTCAAATCCATTTAGCAAAAAAACAAAATTTCAACCAACAAATTCTAATCCAGAAGAATATACATTATCCAAATCAACACGTTTGAACATTATAGATTTTACGTACAGAGTTATAAAAATGCAGGTATATATATATACACACATAGTTTTGGAACTTACAGCGAATGGGTTCACTTCCTCATCAGCGAAAGGGTTAGAATCGTGAGGGATGGCCATGAGTCAGAACCAGATCACCAAAATGGTACAAAAACCAGAGATCTGAACGATCGACAAAATAGTTTTCGTTTTCGTTTTCGTTTTCGTTTTCTTTTGCTTTGTTTGTTTCGCAGGAAAATTAAAAATAACAAACGAAACTTTCGCGGGTGGGAGAGGAAACAGGAGTTTTGTGTTTTTGGTTCTAAGGCGTTGTTTGTTTTTTTGGTTAATTTGGGTTATTTAACTTGCGAGAAATTACTGTCTAGTGAAAAGTAAAAAAAAATGTATTATAAACACGCAGGGTGTAAGTAATTCTATGATAGAGTGCAGTGAAAATTTGTTGCAGCTCTTTAGATTTTTGTAATTTTTTTTTCTTTCTGTCCCACTAGATAATAATTTTCCCTTTAACTAAACTTTCACATTTTGTACTTCAAAAGGTAGGACATTTAAATTTCACTTTCTAATTTTTTTTTAATTAAAAAAAAAACTACACACAAAATAAGTTAAAAAATGTTTAAATACTTTCTTTCAAAGTTAAAATTAATTTTATATTACAAATAAATAAATAAAAATTATTTTAAGTGAAAACAAACAAGACTTAAAAGTATAACTCTGTTGAGTGACTCCGTTAAATGGAGGTGGTTTAAGTTGATGGAGGACATTTTGTGCTAAAAAAATGGAGACATTATTGGCAAACATATTCACTTTCGATTACTTGATGTCCATTTTCTAGAATTTGTCCAAATAAATTATTTATAAACAAATAAATAAGATATTTATAGTCAGTTGACTAGATCACAATTATTTCTAAAAATTTGATTTTTGTTAACAAGTTTAAAAAAGATTATCCATTTTGTAACTAAACAAAAACCCTTAAATAGAATAAATATATTTCCATTATAATTAGTTATGATGTGTTTATATTATTGAATTTTTTATATGGTTGATGTCCAACTTAATGTATTTATTTTGATATTTAGAAAACTACAAAAATGATTCAGGCCTCGAATTTGAGACTCGAATTTGCCTCGAAATCATTTTTTTTTTCTTTTCTTTTCTTCCAAAGCTGTTTTAGTTTGTTTTTTTTTTTAATTTTTTTTTCTCTCTTTTCTTTACAAGGGTGATTATGTATAAAGGTGTATTAAAAAATTTGACATTTTGTGAGTTGAGTTGGACTGATTGGGTAATAAAATTGACTGATCAATTTTTTTTAATTTAATTTTATTTTATTTGTTAGGTTGTGTTGGTTTTTTTTTTTTAAAGGTGGTTATATGTAGGGATGTGCAAAAAAATTAGACATCCTATGTTAACTCATCGTACAAAATTATGTGAAATTAATGAATTTTAACCAACAGTCTAACTGATCAGTCAATTAAGTTGGACTGATTAAGTGATAAAATTGACTAATTAGTTAAACTGTGAATTAAATTTTGTTAAACTGTTGGTTAAATTTTATTAATTTCATATAATTTTATATGATGAGTTGGTGAGAAATGTATAATATTTTATATTGGACTTACAAAAAAAAAAAAAAAAAAAACACAACACACCCCCCAAAAAAAAAAAAAAAAAAAAAAACCATAAAAAAAAAAAAACCGACAGTCAAGCCAAATCGGAGGCCTCTATCACTATTGTTATATAACTATCCTTTTGCCTATTAACTCAAAAATGTATATAGGAGTCTTTTGACAGCAAGTTAAAAAAAAACTAGTATTTTGACTTTTTAACCTTTTTTTAGTTAAAAGAGTCAAATTTTTTAGCCAAAAAACCACCAAAAAGGTCAAAAAAACTAAAAAATTAACTTTTTACCAACTTTCCAAAACACTCCTTACAACATTTTTTAAGTTACCTTAACATTTTTAATTGTCATAAGGGCACATATAACAATAACCTTTGAAAAAATAAACCCCATATATATATATATATATATTAACAATTAAGACCAACCTCATTTTTTTCAAATATTTCCACAAATTGAATGTTTGAATCACCAAAATAAACCTACGTAAGCCATAGCATGTCATGAAAGAAACACACTGGGAAACATCGTAACTACCACAAGATTCATAAATTGTACTCGGTCTTCCCTACAAATGAATTTATGAATATCATTCTTCAGTTAAACAAAATCTAATCAAACAATAGGAAAACAATCCTGGGGAACAATCAAACATCACTATCAACAATTATATCATAAATAAACATTATTAAATGACTGGGTTAGGAAATTTTATGCAGCATAAGCCATCCTTGCATAGTTTAAATGAACACAATTGGCCCAAAGAATAAGGACAACCAATCACAACCAAAACTATCTGTATCTGATTTCCAGAACATTTTTCGATGGGCACGGTTTTGATATGTGAACTGTGGGCTGTGTTAGCAGGGACGTCAACTCTGCAGCATGTTTACAGATGTATGTTCATGGGTTCAAATCTGGAAAATCAAACCTTTGCCATCTTCACTATTCATGAGCTCAATTACCAGTGTGTCGTGCACTGCCTAATCCAAGTCAGTCCCCATCCAATCTAGTTGGAGACTCCCTCCGTAACACTTGAACGAGGTCCAAAACAACTTCAGACATTGGTGGCCTATACTCAGGCTGCGTCTGCAAAAGGAGTTCAATGTTAGCTCTGTCCAGTTTGAAGAGAAACAAAGGAAAATAAGCACACAACCATAAATGTGGATTGTGCATTACCATTGCATAATATCACAAAAGCTAAAAAAAGCTAAAAAAGAAAAAGACGATAACAATGAAACTCAAAATGGGTTATATGTTAACAAATTACTATCACCAACTGAGCCAAGCAGCCTGAACTTTGGTGCACTGCACAGACAGACATCAAAATGTCAATTAATTTCTTAAATGTGATGGGGTTATTTTTTTTGCACTATCATTACGAAGAGCCTGGTAAAACCCATCACATGTATAGGAAGTGGATTTGATACTTCATCACCTTTAATAAAAGGATTGTGGGTTTTCCACTTTTGCATGTTTGGATTGTATATGTCTATGTGTGAATGTGTACGCATCTTTTTGTTATTATCTCACTCTCATCACCTACTATACACATGTAGAAAAGATTTTGCCAAAGCGTCATTTATGCGGCAATTTATTTCCTCCTATGACTTACACTATGTTTGGGAACCTAGGAGAGAAAAGAAAATAAATGATTACTTAAGTTATAAAAGAAAAGAAAAGAAATGACTGTGATTTCTCTCCTTGTTTGGATAAATAAGAAATAAAAAAAAAAAATGATTGTGATTTCTTTTCTTCTTGTTTGGTTAGATTTCATAAGTAAAAAGAAAATAAATTGTTTTATGTTATATTACCAAAATAACCTTTTTATATTTTGTCAGTCATTTTATTTATTTTATTTCTACAGGGACAAAATTAGTATTATGAACATATAAGAATCTTCTCTCCCAATCTCTCCATTTTTGGAAAGATTGAAAATGAGAGTTATAAGAGAAATGGGTTTCTCTCCATTTCTCCCAATTTCTCTCCACTTCAGTTATCCAAACAAGAGAAATACATATCTCTCCATTTCTTTTCTTTTCTCTACAAATCACTCAATCCAAACACAGCGTTAAACTACACTCATGGTTTTTTATGTTTGATATTTTTTTCCCGGGCAAATTATCAGGTTCATAGACTGAAGGTTAGGTAGACAACTTTGAATTTGAATGGAGACCTCAGCAGTTCCAAAGTACAGTCACTGAAATGGAGAAACTTCAGGGATTGCAAGAAAGTATTGGACCTGAAATGGGTGTGGATTTCCCATGCTTAAAATGATTGTAAAATTCTCTCTCAACACAAACATAGAACCGCCAACCTAAAATTTTGAGCCCCTTGGTGTCCATTGGCAGAAGAATAATGACTATATACACATATAACTCAAACTTCATACCAACATCACAAAGCACTCACCTGAACACATCGGGAAATAATGTCAGCGAAGTGTGACAACGATTTAGCAGTGTATTCTCCATGTAAAGAAGGATCAACCATCCTTGACAAAGCATCAATGTCATGAAGCTGAGGGATTGCCCATCTCACCAAAATTTGCTCTGCTCGATTTCGCGTGCTAAACATTATTTTGAAGAAGATAAAAGTTAGTTGCAAAGAATAGGCAAAACATCAAACCCAATATGATTCAACTTTACTCTTTTTACCTGTCATATGACTTTCTTCCAGTCAAGAGTTCTAACATCACCACTCCAAAGCTGTAAACATCACTCTTCGTGGTATAAATTCCTGACTCAAATTCTGGAGCTCCGTAACCATAAACTGTTAGGAGCTGTCCCGACAACTGAGTAAATATAACATTATCAGACTGAAATGAGGCTCCATTTGTTTCCAGGGAAATAAAGGGGGAAATTTTGCAAGGTCTCAGTGTGACTGTAATATTGGTTAGTCAATTTACTGAAGAATTTGCACAATATGGAATTATTAAGGGCAGTAAGTTCCAAAACAAAACAAGGCAACTTTCAAACATTTTTAAGAAATGTAAATTTAAAAAAAACAAACATAAATATTCATGCATACTAAGCAAAATGTAAAGTAACTGACATTTAGAACTAAATTTGAGCTCCAGGGCACTGCTTTATGTAAACATTACAATTCCAAGTTTTAGTTACAACTATTCGTACATAATTTATTTGATTGACATCACCAGTCCTCTTTATAACAAATACATTTCTACGTCTTCATTGAAATGTATGTGACCAAGATGGGCTTGCAAACCTTCTTCTAGACAAAGTTAACCAATTTTCAGTCCCACCATTGAAAATCAAGCACATAGACAATATAATGCCCAAGTGAAATCAATTTGGCCAAATAGTGATAAGCACACTGCCTTGACCATCAAGATGGGATCAGAACCCCAAAGCCATTGATGTGGTCGAGATCCAAGGCTATTTTTGGTGGAAAAAGTTATTTATTGCACTCTGCAAGATAGGAAGAAAATAATTTAAGGAGCTGATTTCTCTCTCTCTCTCTCTCTCTCTCTCTCTCTCTCTCTCTCTCTCTCTCGAGTTGTAAGATTAAATAATAGTTTTGAATTTACCCAATGTACTACAGGATTTTTGTCATTTGGTGTATTTTTGTGAGTTCCCTTAGTTGTATGGTAAACCTCCTTTGAGATGGCTACTTATAAACATTTGTCTTTGGGGTAGTTAATTGTAGCAACTTGTCACCAGTGGTCAATCATGTGACTGCAAGCTACTTGGCACTTCTTCATCAATGAAGGGTTGCATATATGATAAATCCTACTTGTCACTTGCTTGTTACCAAGTGACTGCATGTAAGCCACTTCTCACCTTGTCCGTCATCTATAATTTTCTTCATTTCCAAGTACTTCAACATGTTAGTACTTAGCTCGTCACATATAGCTGTACTAACTCTTTTAAGGAGGTTTTTTTGGAGAATAAAATTTCAGATTTCGTACGTTGTTTTCTTCGTATTTTCCTACTTTTTTAGGGCTTGGTTTTGAGCCTAGTGGTGAGCCTTGCTTGGTCAAAATTGCAAAAATAAGTCCTAAAGTCTGATTTTTACATAGTAAGCCTTGGATTCAAAGTGTTATTCTCATCTACCTTTGATTGTAGCTGTGGGGAAGTATTTTGTGAGTGATAGCACGTGGCTAAGGTGGCGCCGAAGTGTCAACCGAGGTGTCACATGGCCTGATCATGCTTGCCGAGGTGATCTCGGCTAGGCCGAGGTTATCTGCGGAGATGCCAAATTCCGAGATAAGCAGATAAGGGGCAGAAATCCTAGACGAAGGAGGGTTCTAGTTTTGGATAAGGATAAAATTCTTAGGGAATTTATACCTACCTAGCTGGGAGTCCAAGATAAACATTATGTGCTTGAGTCTTATGAAGTGAGGCTTCTAAGGAATTTGGGCACTAATGGCTATAAAAGAGAGGCACCCCCGTGAGTCTCAGAGCGGTAACTTGTGAGTTGCATACTTGGTTTGATATCTTTAAGAGATAACTGACCTGATCGTCCGAGTGCCCCCGGGTGGTGAACCACTGCGGTAATCTCATCTTCTTATTACAGATTGTTGGGCTTAATCTATTCTGTCGGTGCTCTCCAGCTGAGTTCCCTTGTTCGGTTGTTGTGTGGTCAAAAATCAACACCCACAGTAGCCATTAGACCTCCAACCAACTAGTAACTATTGTTACTCTCAAAACCTTTGATTGTAGCCATTGGACCTCCAGCTAACTAGTAACTATATCACCATTTCTATCCTTTAACCACCTTGGAAACCATGTCTTTAGTCTCAATGCCATGAGGCACTTCATCAACTGTGTTGAACATTTTATCTTACTTGATTAGCTATTGTATTATTCTACAAGCTATAATTTCAGTCAAATTGGGCTCAATTTATCTTATCGAAACAAAATTAGGGACATCAAATTCAATCATGTCATATCACTACGTCAATAATGAGGTTTCTCAAATACCATTTTGAAAATCAACTTTCTACATTGCTATAGACAAGGTCTAAATTGTTTTTCCATATAAGGCTTTTCTCTCATCTAAACGAACAGACAGCAGCAAGCTAGTTGTGTAAATTATTACTTTTCTCTTCAAAATTAGAAGACTCTCTTAAGTGGAACGCCAACACTTGAGGAGCGAATAATAATAGATTGCCACATCATCAATGCCACTCCAAGATTAAAACCTAAAGTAAGTAGACAATTCTGAACTCTATGACTGATCTGTCATACTTTTCGTCACATTAATACTGTGTTTGGTTGGGAGATTTGGGAAGGAATTTGAAAAAAGGAAGGGAAAAGGTGTGTGAAACTAGGTGAAATGTAAGTATATTTCATTCACATTTCACATTTCTTTTTCATTTCCCTTTCCAAATCCTTTCTCAAATCCCCCAACCAAACACAGTGTAAAGAAAAGAAACAGGTGTGGATCGATAGGCAATGACCATCACAAAAAATGACCTATACGCTGCAAGATCTCCTTGGAGCTAGCCATCAACTGAAGTGTTCACGAGTACAACATTGAAACAGGCAGGAAAATCCATTTTCCCTTCATTTTTTTTTTTCCCCTTACCATGAACATCCAATATTCTTTCCAAAACAGATTACATTCATCCCTAAGTTGCTTCTCTAATTATTGTTGGAGCCAAATCAACCATTGGTATCAATGAAAATATAGTAGTCTCTTGCCCTTGACCCTCACCATGTACTAAGCCTTCTCTTCATTTTGCTCATTATCGTTTGATGCAGTGGCTTAGTCTAACAAACCTTCAACTACATGGATTCCTAAACAGTCCAACCTTTTGATGCTACTTGATGAAGATACTAAATATGTAGAATTAAAAAAGTAAATGACACTAATATCATGACTTACCTGACTCACGGAGCCTGACGATATTAAAGGAGCCAACCCACAATCAGAGACAAGTACAGCAAGATCATCATCGAGGAGAACATTGGCAGATTTGAAGTTCCTGTGGATAATAGGTGGCTCACAGATCTCATGTAGATACCTTCATTGCATAGAACAACGAAAAATATTAATAAACCTGATGAAATACTATTTTAGCAGTTATTCATGCAAGGGTAAGAAAACAAGAATGCCACTGTCCTCCACCTTACCCCTCCCCAGCCCCTTCCATTTGTGAAGTGCATGAACCATTTTGAAGGTCAAAAACCTTCTTTTGGTGCCTCTAATATAAAATTTAATGACTGGAAAATAGATAATATGGCTTATTAATAAGCTCCCATTTGATACAATTTTTCCGTTCGCTATTCACCACTTTGTTTTCTTCATTCACCCCCTTTCTCAAACCCAAACCAATTGACATATACAGATGTTGAAAAATTAGATATCAGGAATTTAACCAAAAGAAGTTCAAGATATAACAGCATATCCACTAAAGTAAGAGATAATTAACAAGTTGGGTCAGAAACAGTTATTCAGTAGTTGCTTGACTTACTCTAAGGCTCTAGCAGCTCCAAGGGCCATCCGGATGCGGTTATTCCACGAAAGTTGTTTCTTGAATTCATCATCTGAGTGCAAAGCATCCTGCAGTGTGCCGTTATTGCAATATTCATAGATCAAAAGCCTTTGACCATGCTCAGCACAATAACCCATGAGCTCAACAACATTAGCATGACGAATTTTATCTATATTGTTCACCAGATCAAGAAACTCATCATCTTTCTGCTGACTGCAAACTCTCTTGTCCAGTTTCTTGACTGCGAGTAACTACAGCATCATTCAAAAAGATAAGAGGTCAATTAAATTCTATGCAGATGCAGACTGCTTGACATACAAGTTGACACCAATATAAGAGCAAGAGAGAAAGACATGCATTTGGGGATGTCCCAAGAATGACCCATAGAAAATATTTTTTATATATACCAAGATTAGACCTAAAGAGAACTAAGTGATAAAAGTATAAAACATACAAATACTTGCTAATTTAACTTGGACCAATGATTGAACCCAGAAGACTATATTCTTCTCAAAAGAAAGAAAGAAGATTGGTTGAACAAGGCTGATTAATTTGAACAGGTAGAGACTATATTTGTAACAGCAAAAAACATAAAAACAAATCAGAATGCCAGGAGTGGAGATATCTTTTTTTAACCTTACCTAATACAGGTAGTTACAATGTGCAAACAATATCAATTTCAGCAATTATGCTGACCATTAAAACATCAATTGTTGGCTTGAGGTGCAAGTGCAACTCAATTGGGGTATCTCCTGCCAGCACAGTGGGGGCAGCTGCTGAGTCGAGGTGAAAGTGAAACTCAATTATTCCAGTATAAAAAACACAACCTTCTAGAGGAAGCACTTCATGAGAGATGGCTTGAAAAAAGGGGGAAGGAAAAGAAAACAGACACAATAAATAAATAAACCTAGCATCGTGAAACCAAGGTTGTTAAAATTGGGATCCTAGGTAGGATCGTTGGGAGAGACTTGTGAATCGGATCGAAGATCGTAAGATTCTACTTTCAATGTAAAATAAAACAAAAAATTATCCATAATGATAATGTATCTTAAATAACTTCAAAATCATTAAAGAAAAATTATAAATTTGATATAATACATCTTTTATGTTATAACATAAATTAAATGAGATACTTGGAGAAAGAGTTTATAGTCAAATTTCTTATATAAATATACACATATACATACATATATAATGTTAGTGTATATCTAGTTATCTTTGTATTATGTATATAGATATATATATTAGTTGATATCTATCCTGTTAAGTGTAAATATTCTCCTCCTATATATATAGGAGTCATTGTACTTGGTTAAGATCATAATAAAGAACATAGAGTTAATCTCTCTCTTTACAAGTTTAACAGGGTATCAGAGCTATAAATTTTATTTTATTTTTTTCTCTCTTCGTTCTCCTGTTCAGCACCAGAATACATCATCTTGTTTGTGGGTTTTACTTTTGGATACTGATTGCACACTGTCAGGCTATCCCATCCACTCCCATCATCTTGCTCGGAATTTCTTCCAGATTCCAACGCCGCCAAAATTGTCCTCAACAGCCCATTCACGCGCTCTCACGCGCCGCCTCTATCGTCATTGCGTCACTGTCTTCCATCGCCACTCGCCAACGAACATTCACTCGCGTCTCTGTGCAACACTTACGTCAGCCACTTCCATTAGTTGCTTCCGTCAACCGCCGATCCACGCCAGTCGCCTACTCAAGCCGATGACGTGTGCTTGACGTCAGCCCTTCTCCTGCGCCTCCCCTGCCAACGTGTGCCGCGCCTCTGCTCCTTACCGTGCGTCGTGCCTCTGCTCCCTCTTGCTGACGTAGCCCGCCTCTGCTGCTGACGTCAGCCTTAGTTTGGACCCTTCTTTTGGGCTTTTTCATCTCTTTTTGGGCTGTATTTGATTGTTTTGGCCGGGTTCCCGTCTCTTTTCGGCCTTCCCAACTCACTGGTATGCTCTGTTTTTCTAATTTTACTTTTATCGTGTTGTTTTCTATTTTTGCCTTGATTCCAAACCATCATAGATCGCTCCGACTCTGCTCATCCTATTTCTATCATTCTTGACGGCTCTAATTATGTTCTCTAGGCCCAAGCCATGTCTAGATTTCTCAAAGGTAAGAAATTATGGCACATTACTACTGGGGGTGTGTCTAAACCAACAAAGGAGGCTGAGGAAATTGCAGCCAAATTTGCCAGTAAAAATTATCAGATTATTGCTTGGTTCTGAAATCTCTGTCACATCTATCAACCTTCAGTTTGGTCGCTTTCAACTTGACTCGGTTTCTACCCTTGCTAAAGATATTTGGGACTTTCTCAAAGAACGGTATCAAACTACTGGTCTTGCACATTAGTATCGACTTTAGAATCACCTCCATCGCATGCAACAGGAGCCTGGTCAGTCTATTAATGATTTTTTGTCTCAAATATATTCTGTTTGGGATTAGCTTGCTTTTTCTAAGCCTCCCTAGCCTCATCATGAAAATGCTGCTCTATGTCTTGAGTATCGCAATCAACAACGGTTGGTTCAGTTTCTCATGGCTCTCACCTCTCATTTTGAGCCGGTACGTGCATCTCTCCTGCATCGCACTCCCTTGCCTTCTCTAGAGCAAGCTGTATCTGAGCTTCTATCTGAGGAGACTCGTCTTGGTCCCTTCTTTACTTCACATATGGACTCAGTTCTGGCCACTCAGTTACGGAGTTCCTTTTCTCTTCCACAGACTCCTCAGTACATTTATTTTCAAATCGCAGGCTCTCTTCTGCTCATCTTTTGGTTCATTGTTCAATCAAGTCTTGCCGCTACTATAACAAAATTGCCCCAGGTCATCTCCAACAAGATTGTTTTCGCAACCCATCACATCCATCCTTTACTGGATCATCCTCTCATGGATCTCACTCTCAGAGCTGGTCTCACCATTCTGGGAATCAGTCTTGGTCTATGCCTGCTCGTCACACTGCTACTACTTCTGAGGACTTCTCCTCTTCTGACCCTTTGGATCCTTCCACCCCAGTCTTCTCCCAAACGAAACCCTAATTAAACAGTTTCTATCACCTCTAGTAATCCTCCTTCTACTGCTTTGTCTATTACCTCAGGTACATCTTTTTGGTATTTTGACTCTGCTTCTTGTAACCATGACTCTACTATTTTTTCTTCCACATCTTCTTCTCTTCATATTCCTTTCATACATATTGATGATGGTTCTCTCATGTCTGTGAGTCATATTGGTTCTATCCCTACATCTCATTTGTCCTTATCATATGTTTATCTTATTCCTGCTCTCACTTTAAACCTTATTTCCATTAGTTAGTTATGTGAACATGGCCTAACTGTCACCTTTTCTACTAATGGTTGTTTGGTGCAGGACCCTCAGACGGGACAGACCCTTGGGATCGGCCGTAAGCATGACGTCTCTGTGAACTCCTTTATCTTCATGTTCCAGTCTCCACTCCATTGGTTGCCCCTACCTCTGCCTCATCCTCATCTTCCTCTACCTTATCACCGTTTCATCTTTGGCATTGTCGGTTAAGTCATATTTTTGTTAGTCGGTTACAATCTTTAATTTCTAGTGGTCAGTTAGGTCATGTCCCTTCAGACACTTTAGATTGTTTACCTTGTCAACTTACCAAACAGCCGGCTTTTATCTTTTAATAAAATTAATTATGTTTCTTGTGCTCCTTTTAATCTTATGCATTTTGATATTTGGGGCCCATCTCCTACACTTACCATGGGGGGATCTCGCTATTTTGTTATTTTGTTGATGATTTTTCTCGTTATACTTGGATATTTCTTATGAAAAATTGTTCTGAACTTAAACAACTTTTTTACAATTTTGCCATAATGGTTCAAACCCAGTTTTCCAAAACTATAAAAATCTTCCATTCTGATAATGCTATGGAATATAGGGATTTAGACTTTTTACCCTTTTTTCAGAGTCATGGTACACAGCCTCATCGTTCATGTGATGGCACGTCTCAACAAAATGGACATGCTGAACGAAAACATAGGCATATTCTTGATACTACTCGGGCTCTTCTCATTTCTTCCTCTTGTCCTGAAACTTTTTAGGGGGAAGCTGCTCTTACTGCTGTTTACACTATCAATTATGTCCCTACCCCGGTCCTTCATAATCAAACACCCTATGAGCGATTGTACAACACTTCTCCTTCTTACACCGCCTTCGGGTTTTTGGGTCTGCATAATTTGTTCTTCTCCAACCTCATGAACACACCAAACTAGAACATCGTTCTCGTCTGTGTTGTTTTCTTGGGAATAGAATTAAACATAAAGGTTATCAGTGTTGGGATCCCATTTCTAAGCATTTTCGTATCTCTCACTTCGTAGTCTTTTGAGAACATAAAATGTTTGCCTCTCTTTCTCCCTTTCACTTATCTTCTCCAACTTCCACTCTTCACTTTATCGATCCCTCTATAGATCTTTTTCCTGATGATTTTAATGCAGGTCCTCCTCCTCCAGAAACACCATTGCCTACGCCTAATCCCGCCGGGCCTGTACTCCCTAATGTCCTCATAGTGTTTCTTTGGCTCCATCACCCCTTAATGAGTCTTCACCATTTTGCTCATCTTCTTTCCAGCCTCCTTATTCTAGTCGTCCACAAAGGGTAACACAACCTAATGTTCTAACCCTTTTTGACAGCAAGCTATGACTGATGAATTGCAAGCATTAGACAAAACTCATACTTGGAATGTTGTTGACCTTTTCCCTGGTAAGACTACAATCGGATGTAAATGGATTTATAAAATCAAGACTCGTTCTAATGGATCTGTTGAGCGATATAAAGCTCGTTTGGTTGCTCGAGGCTTCACTCAAGAATATGGTATTGATTATGAGGAACCTTTTGCTCCTGTTGCTCGCCTCACTTCTATCCGTAGCTTGATTGTTGTTGCTGTTGCTTGTCACTGGGGCTTTTTTCAAATGGATGTAAAAAATGCCTTCCTCAATGGTACTCTTCTTGAGGAAGTCTATATGAAACCCCCTCCTGGATCTACGGTTCCGGTATATAAAGTCTGTAATTTGCTTTATATAGGCTCAAGCAAGCTCCCCATGCTTGGTTTGCTAAGTCCAGTGCTACTATTCATGACTTTGGCTTCACCTCCAACTCCTATGACTCGGCTTTATTTATTCGCACCACTACTCAGGGCACCACTCTTCTTCTTTATGACAATGATATGATTATCACAGGTGATGATGAGACTAGTATTCTTACTCTCAAGCAGTTTTTTAGCTGCCAATTTGAGATGAAGGATCTTGGTACTCTCAATTATTTCTTGAGTCTTGAAATCTCTCATGACTCAACAAGCTATTTTTTCTCTCAGGCCAAATATGCATCCGATCTTCTTGCTCGAACTGCACTTACTGATTGCAAAGTTGCTTCTACTCCAATTGACCATCAGACTTGTCTTACTCCTCTAGATGACATTCTTCTCCCTGATGCTACACTCTACCGGCAGCTGGTAGGCAGCCTTATCTACCTTACAGTTACTCGTCCTGATATTTCATATGTTGTCCACATTGTCAGTCAGTATATGTCGGCTCCTCGCACGCCTCACTATGATGCCCTACTCCGTATTCTTCGCTATCTCAAGGGCACTCTGTTTCATGGTCTTCACTATTCTTCTCTATCCTCTCTCAAGCTTCATGCTTATTCTAATGTTGATTGGGCTGGGGATCCCACTGATCGTCGTTCTACTATTGGTTTCTGCTTCTTCCTAGGGGATTCTCTTATTTCTTGGCACAGCAAGAAACAGACTCTCACTGCTCGCTCTAGTACTAAAGCTGAATATTGAGCTCTTACAAATACTACCCAGGAACTTCTGTGGCTCCGATGGCTCCTTGCTGACATGGGTGTAGCTTCTACTGACGCTACTTCTCTCTATTGTGACAGTCAAGGTGCCATTCAAATTGCCCATAATGATGTCTTTCATGATCACACTAAACATATTGACATTGACTGTCATTTTATCCGACAGCATGTTACTCGTGACACAATCCATCTCTATTCTATTGCTTCTGTTGATCAGCCTGCTGATATCTTCACCAAGGCTCATCCCCTTGGTCATTTCGGTGACTTAGTTTCCCAACTCATGTTGGTTGATGTCTATCCACCTTGAGTTTGCGGAGGGCTGTTAGTGTATATCTAGTTATCTGTTAGTGTGTTTATCTAGTTATCTTTGTATTACGTATATAGATATATATTAGTTGATATCTATCCTATAAAGTGTAATTATTCTCCTCCTATATATATAGGAGTCATTGTACTTGGTTAAGATCATAATAAAGAATACAGAGTTATTCTATCTCTTTCCAAGTTTAACATATAAAAAAATAAATAATAAGAAAAAAAAATTAGTAGGATCGGGATTGTAGTGCGATTCTACAAGATTTTATGACTAAGATCGTTGTCACTTTAAGATCCTACTGAATTTAAGATTCTAGTGCGATCTAGATTGTTTACCCCAACTAGAATCGTAGGATTACGATCCGGATCGGGGATTTTGATAACCACGCGTGAAACAGGTTTCTGAAAACTAACAACAATGCAACAAACAACATGGAAGGAATTAGGTGACATACCCAATACACCCCTCCCAAACCCCATCTAATGGAGACTAAAATGGATGTTACTTTTCTTAGTGTTTGCCTTTGCCATAGAATTTTGTTGCGACAACAATAATAGCAGTAGTCAAGATTTTCAAAACATAGATATCAGTAATTCGGAACAGTGATATCTGCTCTATAATTCCAATAATCACTGCGGGGTGGGTGGGGCAAGGACATGCAAATGCAAAGCAACTGGAAAAAGAATCAACAGCTGGTAAGATTAAAAGCACAAGCTGCTGAACTAAATCTAGCACAGGAAGATTTTTTTAAAAAAAAAATTGTGTCTAAGGTAGTAAAATATCCACAAGAAACACCCCAGTTAACCAATCTGTAAACTCTCTCAAAGAAGGAAATTAATTTAAGAATCAAACCTTTCCATCAGGAAGCTCTGCCCTATAAACACTTCCTAGCATGCCTGCTCCAATAAAATTTTCTTGAGAAAAGCTGTTTGTATATTGCTGAAGAAATGCTATTGTGAAAGACTTCACAGAAATTTGAGGACTTTGAGATTTGGTGGAAGGCCTCTCTGCAGTTGCTGAAGCAGGTGCGATTGGATTTACAATGACCCTCTCAAAATTAGGAGGTGGAGGTGGTGGAGGAGGTGGCGGTGGTGGGGGTGGGGGCCGCATTGAATCAATATCAAATCTGGTCATGTCAATTTCATGATCAGACCGTTTTGGTATTCCACTCAGTCTTTGCACGTTAAGCTCCCTCTCATTTTGTGGCTTTGGCATCAAGCTTGTTCTTCTCGACCCTGTTTGATGCTCCTCCTTTGGCCTCACAACTGCCACTTTTGGAACTGCTCAAAGAATTTTAAGAAAGACATTTATTACAAAAAAAGAGAAACTTAACAGGAAGTAACTGATTGCCATAAAATATGGATAACAAACTTATAATTACCTTTCTCAATTTGATTGTTCGGTTGAACCAAGGATTCACTGTCCATGGGATTATCTCTACTGCCTAAATATGGAGCTACTTCATGCCGCTTGGAAATTCTGTCAGCCTCTGGTCTTCCTCTCCGACACAATGGCATACAGAGCAAAATTGATAATACCAACACTATAAATGACACCACCCCAACAATTGATATCCAAACTACCCTTGCGGTAGTTGAGTGTCTTTTGGTACTTATAGAATTTGATTCCGGTGCAGATGGTCCATCAGCCTTTTTCCCAGGGGTTTGTTCAGAAGATGGTGCCCCAGAAACCGGTGGTGCTGGAGGTGGTGTTGGGGATGTGGGTGTTGTTGGGGATATGGGTGTTGTTGGGGATATGGGTGAAGGTAATGGAGCAATAGTAGTGTTGAATGGGTTCCCATCTTTTCTGCAGATAAAATTTAAAATTAGGCGGTAGCATAACATAACAACAAAAGATTTACAGTGCCCCTGTGGTGTCCCCTCTTCACATTCTAAACACTTGCTGAAAAAAATATGACAGTAAGTGATTGACTTAAACATCAGATACGATGGACCACAACACAAATAACTATGAAACCTTCAGTGGGGTTTAATTGTTCATCAACACCGTCATTATTCTAATAGAGGCTTCAGAAACCTATATAGGATATGTCACCAATGCTACTTGGTAAAACCTGCACTCCATGCACATTGCCATGGCACTAGATGTGAATCTATATTTTGGACATACATTTACCTGCATCTGTTGTGAGCCAAGTACATTTTAATAAGTTAAATTTTAAATGATAGGTTAGACATATTTACAGCTTTAGTTGAGGAGCCTGACCTTTGTAAATTATCAGGTTACGTGATATTAGGTCTTCTAGATAAGCTTCTATGGCTTTGGAGTTTACACCTACCTCATCTTACTAGATATTTTCATTAACAAGTTAAACAGTTCAGATGTTTTCATAATTTCCTAAAGAGTGAATATTCAAGGAGTTTTCCATATTTCACATTTCAGATCTTTCCAATGAAGTGAAACGTGCAATGGTGTCTACTTTTTTTTTCTTTTTTCTTTTTTTATCAACAACAAAATGAAATGGTGTCTACTGTCTATATATTTTTAGAACACTTTCAAATAAAATCAAATATAGAAAAAATTACAAAGAAAATACTTCTTTTATTTTTTGTGTGCTTATTCTACAATACAACTTGTATATTGTTCTAAATGAACCCAGATGCTTGGAAAATTGGTTTAAAGAGGAAAGTCATTTCTGAGTAAACTGTTCAAAATTTGGGCGAACCTTTCAAGGAAAAATAAGGAAACCCACAGCAAACTGTTTCATAATGTTTTAAAGACTCTAGGGAGACTTGTAAATAACTTTCTGAAACAAGTGAGAGACAGAATCATGAAGTTGAAACATCAATATGACTACAAATAAGCACTAATCAAATAAAACGTTTTGCTCCATTAAAGGAGTGGTCATGGCAACATTAGGTTCACCACAAACGAAGTACCCCCATTTTACGCAAAGCAATTTTCAGCAGGGTTTTGGACAATAATGAACAATAGGTTCACCACAAAACAATTTTGTTCAACTACAATGCAATTTGCAGATAATTACATATATGTACATGACTACATCATTAAAGTGTCCAAAGTCTAATCTATCTGTTTTGGTCCTGGAAAACTTTAGCCCTTCTTTTTGAGAACCTATCAAACACTACTACAAAATTCATTCATCCAGAAAAATGAGCTAGTAAACTAAGATGCAGTGAAGACTTCTCAACAATTGGCAACCGAAGATGCAGTCAAGTGTTCTCAACAACGGGTATGAATAATATGATTTCCATGGCCAGCTGGATTTGAGGGCATAAACACGTGACTGCTTGTTTTCTAATGATTTGGGTGCTTCTGCAAGTAATGAAGTTTTCAGGGAATTTTTGCATAATTATCAAGTAACATTAAAATATCGATTATCGACCCAAACCCCACGTATTGAAGTACGCATAGATGTCGAACTTGATCCCAAACCATTTTAAATTATGCATAAATTCTAATTGCAACAAAAAGAAGTAACAAATAAACCAAAATTTTACATATTGTAGCTCTCACTTGAAATTAGGAATGCTCAGCAACTTGTCAGGTATAGGTCCATTAAACAAATTATTCTCAATGTTCCTGATAAAAAAAGAAAGAAAAAAAGAAAATGCAAGTTAGAAAACTGTGAGATAGCAGCATCTCACCCTACCAACTTCTGAAAATAGTATTTAGTTATTTCCCTCAGAACAAAAGCATTTCTAGAAAAATTTAACTCCATCTGAGGTTTAAAGGTGACATGGTTGAGAAAGTACAAATCTCTGAGTGGAAGATCTTGCAAAACATCAAGAGTCCCAGAAAGCTGGTTGTTCTGCAAATGACTGTCAATCACTATGTTAGCTTTATTCACACAGATGGAATAGGTGCAAAATAAGTGCCTCACTGAGATAAATTACTCACAGGGTGGTCAGAGATGACAAATTCTCCAGCGAAGTTGGCAGCTGCCCACTCAAATTGTTGCTGGATAAATCTCTGCACAAAGATAAATGGCAATCACTTATAAAAGTAAACCTGACCATGAAAAGCTTGCCAAAGAAATTTGCTTACAGATTGACCAATCCTGTAAGGCCTTGAAACGCATCTGGTATATCTCCAGTTATTTGATTGTCATTCAGAGACCTGAAACACAGAAAGCAACTGCTAAGGAAAACCAAGCTGTTTAGAAAAAGGAAGCAACTCACAGAACACATACAAACAAGAGGAAAGTGAAAACATACATAGCTTGCAGTTGACTTAGAGAGGATAAAGAACTTGGGATGCTTCCAGTGAAATGGTTATCTGAAAGAAAACTGCCAAAAGTAAAGCCTATTATATATTTTGCAAGAGTAGATGGCCAAAAACAAGGAAATCCAAGTTCATAGGTAAAATTGAGTATAACATGAATTGAATGCAATATTCTTTAATATGGTAGCACATACAAGGTCAGCAAGGTAACTGGAAGATTGGTCGGAATGCTACCCCCAATGTGGTTGTTGCTTAGATCTCTGCCACAAAATAATGGCACACAACACATGTTAAAGGCAACATCAATAGAGAAATTTGAATATCCTGTGAATTAAAAGAAAAATGAAACATTATGATCTGGAGAAGGTATTGCAGACAACCCTCCCCAGTAGTGTGAAATGTGAGTAGTACGTGTTACACAGTATTGGGTAGAAATCAACACGAAAAGCTAGCTATTGAGGTGAAGGTGCCCTCATGCTTATTAACTTCACATTACTTTAGTACTTAAGCAATGTGGGACTTCACTTCACAGTATAAACTGGGGCAACATCGAAATATCTTGCAGATCACATAAGAGAAAGATCCCATGACAGCTGATCAGGATGGTTCTACCAATCCAATGAGGGTTGAACTATAAGAAATAGATAGTCCCCCCAAAATCCAGATACATAGTCCATCAAGAGAATTAAAAGAAATTGGGAACTATAACACTCAATCCTCATCCTTGACAAAATATTATCACTTTGTCAAGCAACTTGGTAATGAACCAAAAAAACCAAAAAAAGAGGGAAGATATTTAAAAGCAAAATCAATGAAGAATCTATTAAGTCTTTCCAATACCACTATCCATCAAAAATGGAAACACCAAATGCACTTAGAGAGAGAGAGAGAGAGAGAAGCACATACATTGTTTGTATAGAAGTAAATGAACCTAGGTCGTTACCCAGTTGTCCTCCCAAATTGGCACCAATAAGAGTTCTATAAAACCAGATAATTATAAGAGAATTGAAAGTTGACATTGTCCATAAACATTAAGTATTCAAGATGCAGGAAGAGAAGGGATTGCATACATAGAGATTACGGAATTGTTAGTGTTACATTGAACTCCTTGCCAAGCCTCAGCACATGGGTCTCCAGCACTAGCAACCCATCCAGGAAGAAGAGGGTTTCCAAGTGCAGCATAAAAACTATTAATTGCAGCAACTGAACCAACATAAAAGAATGCCACCAATAAGCAATTGTTTCGAGAAATTTACAATGGGAAAAGACGTAGCATAAGTAAATCATCATACTTGCTAGCAGAAAAAAAGAATCTGGGAAATTCATTTTCCGCTGAAAGTTTCCAGAAAAGTATATTGTTTTCAAAATGTAAAAATTGAAAGGAAGTTAAACCAACCGTCATTTTCATTGCCGAGAAAATAGAGACAAATAGGAGAAAATAAATGTTGACACCCCAGACAAAAACCAAGAGAGAAATTTCAGAACTTGTCAACTAAAAAGGTGCGAATAGGCAGGTTTAGAGCTTTAATTAACTAGACGAATCTAAAAGTCGCACATAAGTAACAAGAAATTCCAAAAGGAAATAAATAAATAAATAAATAAATAAAATTAGGAGGCAAAAGCTTCATATCGTTAAAGATTATCATTCCCAAGGTTCATAAGTGATGGGAGACTGCATAAATTGCCCTGCTCAGCTGGCGAGAAAAGGTAGGAAAATAATAAAGCATAAAATGTTGAATATCAGACTATTCATTATATGCAACCCAACAAAAAAAAAATCAACTTTCCTCTTTTTTCTTTCTCTTTTCTTCCCCTAATTTTCTAATCAACCAAACAGCACAATAAAATTAGAAATGCTCCAGCCCACACTTACCATCAGCAAGATTAGTGTCTCCACGCGAAATTTGTGCCGTGGAGATCAAAACAAGCCCCACAAAGACCCGTACATAGATCTCCAAATTCAAGCACTTTATAGCAGATCTCTTGAGACCCATTGTCTAAAACCCAACCTTTCTCTTCAATTCCCTCACTTTAACGAGCCTCCTCTCATCACTCAACCTCCAACCTGAAAATCAAAGGAAAATATGCGTACAATGTCAGTGATCCCATCACAGCACAACAATTCACAACACCAGCTATGCTTTTCAAAACAAACGAATCACTACAATCACTTGAAACCCAGAACAAAACAAACTAGTACAATGATATACTAGTGTGAAATCAATGTGAAAGCAAATTTGAAGCAAGTGGGAGCATTAACAGGGAGAGAAATGGGGTTCGCATACCAAAAATCAATGAGTGATTTATTATTAGCACTCAAATCTAGAGAGAGAAAACCCTAACCCTTGTTCGAGATTGATTAAGAAAGAAGAAAGCTAAAGCGTAGCAAGTTGCAGAGACTAGCAAAAAGAGTCGTCTGAAGACGCTGAACCTCTTTCTCTCTCTCTCTTCTCTCTCTAGAAGAAAAAAGAAAAATCAAAACTGGATACTTTTCCATATTTTATTTTTAACGTTTAACTAAATTTGGCTCTGTTTGGTTGATTTGAGCCATGGATTTTCAAAAATTAATCACACACTCAATTTTGAAAATGTAGCTGAAGGCAGGAGAATTTATGCTAATCTGTCGTCTCAGTAGACATTCTATTGGATATTTCACCGGTCGTCTGGTCAGTTGATTGAAACAGTATAAAAAAAATTATTTTTTTTTTCAATTGACACATGTTAACGTTTATATATTCAATATTTAATAAAAAAATATTTTCTGAATTTTTTAAAAAAATTTATGAATTTTAATAGAATTTTGAGTTGTGTTTGTTATTATGAGTTGTAAATTTTTATATCAAATATCATATGTCACGTCAAAAATTTCTCATTCAATTCAAAACTCTTTTCAAAACTCATTCACCAAACTAATTTTCTACACTTAAATTATAATTTCAAAACTCACAAACTCAAAATGCAACTCTATTTTCAAATCATATAGAAAACTCTATCAAACGCAACCTTTATTTTTAGGTCATTGCTAACGTTTAACTAAATTTATCATCAATTTTAAATTTGATAAAAAATATACTTTTTTCTCTCTAATAATTTTATCAAAGTTATATCAAATTGAGAACATCCTACATTTTTTACCAAACTGAAAATGTTTTATGTCTTTTATCAAATTACTGTTCATTATTATTATATTTTCACTACCAAATGTCTCCCGAATGACCACTGTAAGGCAAAATTTTGTGAAAAATTTACACTGAGAGATTGACCTCCCTGATGACCTCTCAATTGGTGAAAATTTTACATTGGCCAGTCGACCATCTGATCGATCAGTGGTTTGATAAAAAAGCAAATTCCTCCATTGGAGCAGGCGATATCAAAGAGAGTTTTTGCTGAAATTTGATATAAAAAAAATAATGCAATGTTGGAGATGCCCTTATAGGCTCAAATTGATAATCTAAAGGTTTACCTTGTAAATTTCACAATGAAAATCGTTTTGGTAAAAAATTAATTTCATCGAATAGCAGTGAATTCATAGGTAAATCATTTTTTATTTTATAAAATAAAAGGTTTAAATTGAAACATAATTATTGTTTATTTAAAAAAAAAGATATAATTTATTCATATATTTAATAATATTTGGTGAAATAAATTTTACCATAATTCATATAATTGGTTAGAATTATGAGAACAATAGTTTAAATTATCATTGTAGAGTTTTAAAAATTAAAATAGTAAAAAATATATAGGATAAGACTACGAAAGACATTACCGACCGTGCGTGCGTGGAAGTGTGATGAATAGATTATCTGTTTGGTTTGCTTGTAGGAAAGTAAGGTTGCTACGGTAACGCCACGCGCTATAATTGCGGTGTGATGTGAGATTGTGATTAGTCGTTAATCTCGGTTTACTGTAATGATAATAATGAGAGTGAGCTCTTAATTCAAGTGTATTAATTAAATAATATTATATGTATTAATTGATGTACTAATTAGTATATCAATGGATGATGTGATATAATTTAAGAAATTTTTAATATTTATAATTTGTATAATGTGTAGAGTTAATAATAATGTCAAAACTAATGTTAATACACTGAGTGATGCTACTGACTCCAAATAATCTATTAAATTTTCTGTCAAATCTCTCACATGAGTGTAAGACTTACATGCATGTAAATTTGTGGGGGTTCAACACCCATGTAAGAAGTTTGATAGAAAATTTGGTAGATTATTTGGGATTTATTGCATTATAGTTAGTACACTAATTGGTATATGTAGCACTACTGTTTACTAATACTAGTTATGATATTCTTGTTAATCTCACTCATTATACAAATTATAAATATTAAAAAAAATTAAATTATGTTACATTATCAATTAATACACTAATTAATAAATTAATTGATACATATAACATTATTAATTTATTTAAGTACTGTTGTCTTCAGTGTTTCGCCGACAATAATAACTACTTATAGTAATGAAAAGTCATTTGTCAATCAAATTTTTTTTTTATAGTAATGAAAAGTCATTTGTCAATCAAATTTTTTTTTTCATTTGACATTTTAAATTATATATATTTTTTATTTTAAAATATGCAATGTCCATTATTGTTTTAATTTTATTATTCTTCCTATCTTAAAACAACGTACTGATCTCAAAACACTTGCGTAATTATGTTTTAATTTTATTATTGTTTGGTGTAATATAGCCAACTTTTTTATCTTGAAATTTTTTTTACCTGACTTTTTTAGTCTCGTTTGGTTTTTATTTTAAGACTTTTTAAACTTTTGTAAGAGAAAAGTGTAATGATTATGAGTAAAAAGTAATATTTTATTTTAGTAGCTTATATAGCTTATTTTGTCTTTTGGTACTTTTTTAATCCCAAAATGTTAGCCAAATGAGCATTTAATATCTCAAAATATTAATTATTTTTCAAAAAAAATAAGGATTAAAATAACATAAATTTGTTATTTTGCTCTTATTTTAAATTCATTAATTATAATAATTGATGTTCTAAAAAAAAGTTAAAGAATAATTTTTAAAATATAATAATTGTATTACAAAAAAATTAAATTCCCCAACAGAAATTAATATTTTGAAATAGAAAGTGAAAAAAAAAATATTATTTGATACTCTCCAAATATTATCATAACCAAATGATTTATATACAGCAATTATTTTGATGCAAGTGTTTTGAGATCAGTACGTTGTTTTTATTTCAAAGGCCTTGGCTTTTGTAAAATAATTTTTTGTTATTTTTATTTATCGTGTTATTAGTAAAATTTGACGCAATAAACACACAAAAATGTACTTTTTTTCATCATATTAAATTTGGCAATAAAAGAATATTGAGCTAAATTTTGGTATGATAAATATTTTTATTATTGATTTCCTTAAATTTATTATTATATGAGAAATTTTACTATACACACCCCTTATCATACACACCCCTAAATTATATTATTTTTTTCTTTAATTATGATTAATTTTTTTCTTTAAATATAATCTTATTTTAATTGTGACTCATGAAATTTTTGATTATATCTTATATATTGTTTAGTTATAATTTTTTTTAATTATGACTCAAAAAATATAAAAATATTTTTTTTTTCTTAAATTATAAAATGCATACAGTGCCACAGTCTTTCGCTTATTATATTGCTTAAAAAGTGAATGGTGTTAAAAATAATATATACCGTTGAGTGGGCCTTTTCAAGTTTTAATAGTATTTTGACATTGCAAATTTGCAATAACATATTAAAATACGACATTGGCACAATTGAAATAGGAGGATCATCTAGAGATGTGTTTTATTTGGCTATGAGCAATGGAATTTGATGAAAAAAGTTACAGGTGGGTTTTAGAACAAATTATGATAGGAAATTAAAAAATGGATGAATTTGAGAATTTAAAAAAAAAAATCTCAAATAACTATTTTTATGTAATAAATTTTTTCAAAACAATACAACACTAATATTTTAAAATTATGAACACGATGGTATAGAAAGTATAGGTGGACATTGGTCATCGACTCATCTGGCCTAATCCTATTTTTTTAGGACTTAGAAAGATTGTTTTAGTTAGGGGTGTTTGCGGATCGGTTTTGTGCAGTTTGCGGTTCAGTTTTGACCCGCTCGCATCTATATGAGGTTTGGAAAAAAGTCAACCCACAACCGCCTGCAATGCAGTTTGCGGTTTGTGAGAATAGGGTTTGCAAATGTGCAGGCGGTTTGCGGTTCACACTTTTTTCTTTTAAAATTAAATTTTGAGTTTTTTTTCCCATTAAATTTAAGCATCAGATTCATTTTATATATTTGTGATAACAATTTTCTGATGAGTTTACAAATAAAAATTGAATATCAATACATTAAATAAAAGTACCAAAATAAAGAGACCCTACACTAACATTTTTGCCATGAAAAAAATGTATATAAATGCATTAAAGGTTTTACTCAATTAGAATTGTCAGTTCAGTAATCAATAATCAAACTAGAAGTTCCATCGACCACCAGAAGGAAAATTTTATTAGGAAAAAGTGGATGAATCACCAATGAAAATCATATAAGAAATACTTAAAAATAAGGATCCTAGTGTCATAGAGAATATAATGGTGTTCCTGTAAAAGTTACAAAATTGGTATATAAAAAATATAAATAATAATAATTAAAGTGCGGGCGGTTTTTGCCCGCAACCCGCCCACAACCCGTAAATTTGTCATATTTCAAACCGCATCCACCCGCATTATGTTTGCGAAACTATTCATTTATATGCGGGTTTGGCGGTTTGAGCGATTCGGATAAACCGTTGCCCACCCCTAGTTTTTAGCTTATGAAGTCGGGTTGGGCCAATATTTTTAACTTGATATATTACTGGACTGAGCTTGAGATTTATAATTGCAACTCATCTCAGCCCGACTTGGCCCGGCGTGATAGTAAATTAATTAATTATATTAAATTAAAATATATATTTCTTGTTGGGATCTATATTTTATCTTTTTTGATTTTATTCAAACTCAAATTTGTAACGATATGTGTGATTGAATTTATTTAAGAAAATTTTTAATTTATACACAAAATTCTTCAATTTAAAATGATATGTGATAAAATTTAATTATAGAATGTTTAAAAAAAATTAATATATAACCTGATAGATAAATTTGGGGTTTATAATTAATTTTTGAACTAAATTATATAACCTGATAGATAAATTTGGGATTTATAATTATTTTTTGAACTTAAATTTAAATAAATATAAAAGCTCAATATTAAAATCGAACTAGGTTTAAACAGATCATATTATATTATATCGGCTCAGTATGCCACTCATAATATAAAGAGATCAGCAAATAATTACATGATCATGTATTTTATATTTATATATAACTACTTTACAGAAAGTGAAACACCGACATTGAACACATGAGCCATGCATTTTGTTCAGGGGAAATCCTATGATTTGTATCATATATACCCTATTATAAATT